CTTGAGAGTGAGTGGCCAAGCAGAACTGGATATCCTAGCTTAGTGTCTAGGCCACAGCAAAGACAGAATGAGAGAGACATCAGCTGGGGAGAACAGAACAAGAACCTTCAAAGTCACCAGGAGTGAGGTCACTGTGCCTTAGGCAAAAGCCTCAAAGCCGAGGAGAGAAACATAACTACCCCAGTTCCCTATAGCAGTCTGCTAGAGTCAGGAACAGGAAAGGCAGGCACCTGGCTCTGTGTCTCCATGGCAGACATGGGCTCAGTGTGTGTTTCTATCCCTCCATCTGCTCTAGTCCTCAAGTCCCTCATGCTGGCTGACTGGATGTGGGGCACAGGTGGTGTCTTTCCGCTCTTTTCTATCTGCAGCTGCTACAGAACAAAATGTCTTCCACATCCCCCGTGAATAGAGGCCCTTCTGTTAACGACAATCTATATTTTAGGTGTAAACAGCCCATTTCCCCATTTTAATACATCTACACTCTCTCCTGATCCCACCCCAGAACTGATAGTCCTGAGGCACAATGGCTTTCAGGCCCACTCCTGAGACCTGAAAAGCTAATCCCTTTCCCACCCTCCAAACAGGAAAAAGGGAAGGAAAAGAAAAACTCAGAAACCTGAAGATTGTTTGGAATTTATTCTCTTAAATAAGAATGGTAACATTCGTTAAAAAAAAATTAAAAGCACAACACCTTAGTTTCACAGCAACGGCAAAAACAAAGTTACACAATGAAATTAAAAAACTCACAAAGAAACACACCAAAAACTCACATCACAGATTAAAAACAAGGGCAAAAATAAAGGCTTTAGGGAAGGCCAGAAGCGGACAGGTGATGCATTCCTTGGCACAGTTCGTCCTCCCTTGCTCTGGCATCTCTGTACCACTGCCATGGGAACCTGGCTTGCTGCCATCCCCCCACCTCCACCCCAAGCCGAATGGCCCAGGAAAAAGGGAACCCCTTAATTCACTGATCAGGACTTCAAGGCCATGCTGCAGCCCCTTTAGGAGGGACTGAAAACAGTCCACTGCCCGAAAGACACCAAACACCGAGACAATAGGGAAGCTACAATAACTAACCCAATGTAACTGATATACAAGCCTAGAAGCAAAACAGAGGTAAGGTGGGGGGTTTGGTCTTCTGTGGCATTTCGCAAGCAACAGAACCCCTGCTTTCCTAGTCTGCTCCCAAATCAACTTTCCGAGGTTGGGAGTGTGTGCTGCTCATTTTCTGAGACATCCACGCCCCGCCCCCCCCCCAAAGTTTCCACCTCCACAGGTGTGCTGGTTGCTCTATTCCCGTAAATCCTGACCCTAACTCTAACCCAGGCCAGTGGCATGGTTCCCCAGTGTAAAAAAGCTCTCTTGATTTCCAGAACCAAGGAACAAGAAGCTTCAGAAACAGCTTCATTATTATTATTATTATTATTATTATTATTATTAGTTAGGACACAATATATAACTATCTACTTGTGTATATGAAATTAAATCTACATAAATATACATGTGTATGTGTATAAATATTTACACATCAACATCAAACTAAGACTTGTGGGGGAGGGCTGGGGAGTTCAGCTGGACTGTAAGATTCTCTTTGCTCTACTAAGAAGTTACCCAGAAACGCCTACAAGGGAAGGGAGCCTGGGAAGCAGTGAGATTTCCTAACTTTGTCCTGACAGGCAGGAAACCCAGGAGTGCATGGAATCCCTCATACTGCATGGCTATTCTAGCCGGTGTGGGAAGTGCCTGCATTTCCTAATGGCCCATGTGGCATCCAAACTATGGAATCTAATGGTGATCATGCAAGGGTTGTCTAGGGACAGGGAGCAGGCACCCGCCTCTTGCAATCTGCTAGGCAGCTTTTAAAATTAACACTATCTTTTCCATCCCATCTCTGTGGCCTGTACTAGAAGAAAAAAGCTCTTCTCTTAACTTATGATTCCCATAGCCTTTATGATTCATTTTTGATTGTCTTCTATATGCTATGAACTGTAAAGGGAATTCCTCTCACAAAGAAAGGATCCAAAAAACCTGCAGCTGAGGGTCTTGTATTCAAGGGGAAGATAACTCATTTAGGGTTTTTCTTTCTCTACCTGTTGTTGTCCCACTTTTTCTTAAAGTCAGGGCAGGTGCTAGGAGGCCAGGGTAAGAAAATCTGTGCCAGGTCCACTAATCTATTCAGTGTAAGAAGCTTAGAAACAAAGCATTTACAGATGTGGGGAACAGAAAAGAGGGTTTCTATGTTAAAAGCACATTATAAACAACAGCACTGTAAACAATGTCCTCCTCCAAACACTAAATTAGCAGCAGTTACAGATTAGGTTACCAGAGAAAGACAACACTGCAAAGCAGGCTGAAAGCAGGTTCTCTTAACTTGTGGGTGGTTTGGTTTTTTGGCAACGGCAGTAATTTTGGCATAACGGGAAAAGAACATAAGGGAAAAGAGGGTAATGCCACATATACAGAGGTGGCACAGGGCAAAAGCACAGCAGGTCAAGTGCCAGTCATAGCTTTTTCAGCTCTGCTTCCTGGGAGATGGGAATCTAGGAGGATGGTTTATTTATACACAGTGGAATCAAGTTCATTCATTTATAGTCTTTTCTTGTCTAGCGTGCAGGAGAGGAGATGTACCATGGGTCTGGGTTAATGACTGTTATTCATGACACATATTCTGGAACCCTGAAATACCTGAGTTTTTCTGAAGCTTTTCAAAAGGAAATTCTAGTTAAGCTTTAGTTTGAGATTTAAAGAAAGATATCCCTATCAAAGGAAAAAAAGAAATCTACTTCATGCCAACTCTAAACTACCACCCATAATTCCGTTCCTTTGCTACAGAGGCTAGCAAAGATCAGACACCTCCTAGGGGAAGTGCTGGAGCTCTGGAGCACGTTCAGACTCAGAGTTGTAACTTCCAAAAGCCCGAGTCTCCAGGGGCATCAGCCCCAAGCTCTAGTGTTCCCACTGCCCTACAGAGTACCTTAAAGTGGGGGGACAGTGCCTGCCTCATTCATTTTAGGAGCTCACGTGGTGATTCCTTTGGGATGCCACATCTTGAACCCCTTGTGCTAGAACATGTAAGTCATGTTCAGAATCAAGAACCACAGGGGCTGAGACATCCTCAGGGCTTTGATTTTTTTTTCACATTGCCAACTCTCATCTCCTTGCTTTGTAGAATATTCTTCTCCTTCTCTATGGAAGCTTTAATTCATTAGAACTGCTAAAAACCTGAGATCCATTATGCTTCCACACTAGACAGTAAGAATGGCAAAGTGAACCACATGGGAAAATGAACAAACTTGGCTTGTTCAGAAATGACCTGAACTTCATTGTGTTTCTTTTTGAAGAATGTTCTCCACTCGATACCCCAAAATCAAGTTCATTTCCTTGAGCTGTTTTACTGAATAGCCAAGTTCCTTGGAAAGTCCATCTCTGCTGGACGAGGCCCAGACTGATGAGGTGGAGCTCTCACTTGGTCAAGTGCATATTCTAGGGCTCAGAGCTGACCTCTCTGTCTAGATCCCTTTGGTAATTTTTCTCTGCCAGCACTTCCCTCTGGTGCTCTGAGAGTGTCGATTGCAAAAGGCTGCCAGCATTTCAGGGGAAAGACAAATTATAAAGGGTTTCAAGGCTATAGAAGGTTTCAAAGTCATTCGTGGCTTAAACATTCCTATAAAATGTTGGTCCAATTGGCAGGGCACTTAAAAAGCTTCCCTGGATTATAATAAGGGCATACATAGGAGGAGAGGCCGAATTTTACCTAGCTCAGCTGGGGTTTGCAGGGTCTCGGTTTCCAAATCCCTGCCTCTCTGGGTATATTCTCCCTTTCTCCAGTTCTTAAGCACAGGGAAGGAAGCAACTCTGAAAATCTCTCATTTGAAAGTGGAGTGGATAATCCTTCTCTTTTCCAATTTGGAAATTTCACTACCAACTCCTTCTCCATAGTTCCTAGCATTAGCTGATAATCTTTAGTTTTTATATGGTAATTTTCATGAGTTTGTAAATGGCTGCTTGAGATATATCTGCTGTGAAAGACAGAAAAAGTGTGAGATATAGAAACATGGCCCTGTTGACTTCCTGTCTCACCTACACAATGACCCTGGGCTGTGTCTAGTCTGGGGCTGTAATGAGGGCATTAGGACCACTCCACAGTTTGTGGTACACATCTCACAGGCTGGCTTGACATATAGCAAAGAGACTCAATTTTAAACTACAATTCCTCACAACAAACCTAATGTCCACGAGCCATGAGCTAAAACCAGAATAAATGTGTTTTTTAGAGGTAGGGATAGTGTCATTCATCTCCTGACATAAGGAAATGATTAGTTGAAATGGAACAAATTAGGGTTTGGTTCCATTAGAAGTTCAAATGCCCCAAAGTGATCAGGACAGGGCATGTCCTTTAGTGGGTTACAGGTCAAATAGAAGAGCCATGTCAGCTTATCTAGATACCTAAGTAGGGAGTGGGATGCAAAAATTTCAAGTTTGGGTGAACATAAATCCAGATCATGGGGTCTTATTGCAATTCCATGCTCTGTCAAAGGAGTCCAAGACAAGAAGGCCCTGTGACTCTAGATTCTCACTCGGGTCAGTGATAAAAGCAGCCTATTCAGAATTCCTGTTTACCTGGATGGGGCCTAGACCAACCACCCCAGTGTGTCTGATCGGTGTGGGCAGGCCCCAGGGCTATAGCAACAGTACTTTGAGATTCTGAATAGACATTACTGAAGCTTGGGTGATCCCGCTTACTAGATGGTGCCCCTACTGGCTCACGGTCTGCCAATGAAACTCCCCTCTGATTTGTACCAGCACCTCCGACAGGCCATAGAGAAAGGGGACTCCAAATGCAAGCAGCTGGCACATGAAAAAGGAGTCCAAAGGGTTTTGGGTCACTTGATGCCCAATCGAAGAAATGTTGCTTTGGAGGTGCTGGCTCATCCCCTTGGCCTTGTCACAGAGGCCAAGAGAGTGACGCGCCACCCAGCCAAACAAGGAAGTGAGGCTACCTGGGGTTCTCTCAGCAGGGCTGGCAACGGCGCTGGCCCGTCCATTTGTGTCCACAGTGGGGCCATCCTGCAGGGGTTCTCTGGCCTCCTAGGAAAGTCCGCAAGAAAAAGAAGAGTGACTGACTGAAGCACTCAAATCTCAGGAGGTGGTGACACCTGCCTGGCTGATTTACTGCGCTCACCTGTCAATCCAGGCTGTATGTCTCACAGTATTAAAAAAAAACAGGACATATTTCATGTAGAAATCACCAAGAGTCAAAATCTAGGTCTACCCTGGAATACCTTTCCTTTCCCCACAAGTGCCACTACAGTCAACAAAAACCTCTCAAGGATGTGTTAGCCTGCATGCTGACAAGGTAATATCATGTAGCAAAGGGAATACCTGGTTTATCTTGATAAAGACAGGTGGAGAAGCTAGTTACTCTCATTAAAAAAAAAAAAAAAGAAGGAAAAAAGGTACTTAGTAAAGTAATTCACAGAAATAAAGAAAGTGCAGATTATTTACAGCCACGTTCCTTTTCAGGGTGTCCGTCTCTCAGAAAGATGTTTATTTACAATGACAAAAGTCTTTTATATGAGTGAGCAGGAGGGAGGGTCTAATATAGTCTCTCAAATCCAACTCTGGTGGTGTGTGGAACATTACCTTAGTGAAATGCAACATTAGATTATACTTGAAGAGTTGGTTTCCTTCCCAAATGGACTGCGACCATCTCTCAGGTCATTCCCACCCAAAGGAAAGGCAATTTAGTGGCCTTTCAGCAGGCCCTGCTGGCCACACCTTCACCTGTCACTGTGCAGAAATGTGCCTGCTGCTTCTCCCCCACTTACACATAGATTACCATTACCTTGCCAGACAGAGGAGCCACTGCCGGTCTCTTCCTCTGTGCGGAGCCGGAGAGTCGATAACAGTAGTGTGGTTTGCAGTAGAATTTACCTGTGCAGAAGAGGCAGGAGAAAAGAAGTGAGCAAGACTCTTAATTCTGAACTTGACTCCCTCGTCTTAGCACACTCCTATCTCTCTCCTCTAGCCACAGGGTGCTGTCACCACTGCCCAGGGTTCTTGTCCAAGGAAGCCAAGCCCTCCCTATAAACTTTGATTTCAGCCCTCCTCTCCCTTTTGCCCGAAGGGGGAGGGGGTTTCTTTTGGATATGTGAAGGCCATTGAGCGATCACCCAATCAGCGCCCAGAGCAAAGACGTGAAGCCTGCATGGCAGGGCCAGCAAACAAAGTGGCAGTGTGTGTAGAACAAAGATGTGGTCACATGGAAAGCTGGGAGTAACATTTCTGGGGAAACCAGAATGAACATAAGCGCAGGGTGGAGGCGTGAAGACTGCAGGGGGTGGGGCGGCATTGAGCACTGGCTTTGACAGGACCCCCTCTGCTGCTCCCCTCTCCCACAACTATCCACAAGCCAGCCTTATGACCCCTTAGTGGGTGGGATCAGCATTAAAAACCAATACAAAATGAAACCAAACAATCCTGCCATGGACTATGAATAGAATGAAGCACAACAAAATGCATTAGAGTGCACAGTGGCATACTTAGAGTTAAGTATCAGTCCTTACAGCTTTTAGTTGTGTTTATAGGTGTTTACTGGGTCCTAAACATTTTCTTTTGCAGGTGTGGCCCAAAATTTGAAAAACAGATCCTGGCTTTTCCCATGACACCGGTAGTGGGAGTCAGTCACAAAAGGTCATTTTTTTTTTTTAAACCTTCCCTTACTCCCACTTTAAAAGAGCCAAGGCTTTTGAAAATTAAAGGACAGACCATACTATAGAAACTGTTGAAACAGGAGTAATCCCACTTATCCTTTTCATTTGCAAAGGGTACTCCTCTGACAAAACAAACTTTTCTGCTCTCAAAGTTAACATAAGAGAACCTAACCAGAAAAACAATAAAAAAGAGCAATGAAAACTAAGAGCCAGCTTTTTGAAACAATAAACCAAATGGACAAACCTATACTATACTATACTATACTATACTATACTATACTATACTATACTTTACTTTACTTTACTTTACTTTACTATACTAATTCAGAAAAACAGAAGACTCAAAAAAAAATCAGAAATGAAAGAGGAGACATTACAACTGATACCAAAGAAATAGGATCATGAGAAGCTACTATGTATAATTATACACTAAAAAGCTGGATAACCTAGAAGAAATGAACAAAGACCGAAAAATATATATCATACCAAGACTGAATCAGGAAGAAAGAGAAAATCTAAACAGACCAATACTGAGCAAGGAGACTGAATCAGTAATCAAAACTCTCCCCAAACAGAAAAGTCCAGGAGCAGATAGTGAATTCCACTAAACATTTATTTATTTTAATTTTTTATTAAAAAATTTTTTTAAATGTTTATTTTTCAGAGAGAGGAGAGAGTGAGCGAGCATGTGTGCGTGCACCTGAGTCAGGAGGGGCAGAGACAGAAGGAGACACAGAATCCCAGCCAGGCTCCAGGCTCTGAGCTATCAGCACAAAGCCTGCCACGGGGCCACTAACCATGAGATCACGACCTGGGGCCACTAACCATGAGATCACGACCTGAGCCCAAGTCAGACGCTCAACTGACTGAGCCATCCAGGCAGGCGCCCCCCCCCACCCCGCCCAATATTTATAGAAGAATTAACAGCAATCCTTCTCAAACTATTCCAAAAAACTAAACAGGAGGAAATACTCCCCAAATTATTTTATGAGGCTAGCACTACTCTGATACCAAAGCCAGATAAGTATACTACAAGAAAATTACAGACCAATAACCCTGATGAATACAAATGCAAAATTCTCAACACAATATTTGCAAACCCAATTCAACAAAACAACAAAGTGGGATTTATCCCTGGGATGCAAGGATGGTTCAACATACACAAATCAATAAATGTGATACACCACACAAACAAAGTGAAAGATAAAAATCATATGATCTCAACAGATGCAGAAAAAGCATTTGACAAAATATAACACCGTTTCATGATAAAAACATCAACAAATTGGGTATAGAAGGAACATACCTCAATACAAGAAACATCATATACAACAAAACCACAGTCAATATCATTTCAAAGGTAAAAGGTTGAAAACTTTTTCTCTAAGATGAGGAACACAAGGATGCCCACTCTCACCACTCCTATTCAAGAAAGTACTAGTCCTAGCCAGAGTAATCAGGTAAGAGGAAGAAATAAAAGGCATCCAAATAAGAAAGGAAGAAATAAAAGTGTCTTTGTTTGCAGATGGTGATCTTACATACAGAAAATCCTAGACTAGATTCCACTGCCAGAGCTAATCAACAAATTAAGTAAAATTGCAAGATACAAAATCAACAATACACAGAAAGTAATTGTTTCTTTTTTTTAAAGTTTATTTACTTATTTTGAGAGAGAGAGGGAGAGAGAAAGAGTAAGCAGGGGACAAGCAGAGGGAGAGAGAGAATCCTAAGCAGGCTCCACACTGTCTGCACAGAGCCTGACACAGGGTTCGATCTCACAACCTGTGAGATCATGACCTGAGCTGAAATCAAGAGACAGGTGCTTAACTGAATGAGCCATGAAGGCACCCTGAAAGCAACTGTTTCTATACATTAACAACAAAACATCTGAAAAAGTAAAGAAAACAATCCTATTCACACTAGCATCAAAAACAACAAAATACTCGGGGCGCCTGGGTGGCGCAGTCAGTTAAGCGTCCGACTTCAGCCAGGTCACTATCTCGCGGTCCGTGAGTTTGAGCCCCGTGTCAGGCTCTGGGCTGATGGCTCGGAGCCTGGAGCCTGTTTCCGATTCTGTGTCTCCCTCTCTCTCTGCCCCTCCCCCGTTCATGCTCTGTCTCTCTCTGTCCCAAAAATAAATAAAAAACGTTGAAAAAAAAATTAAAAACAAAACAAAACAAAAAACAACAAAATACTTAGGAATAAATCTAATTAAGGAAGTGAAAGACCAATACACTGAAAACTACAAGACTTTGATAAAAGAAATTTAAGAAGACACAAACAAGGGGAGCCTGAGTGGCTCAGTCAAGCGTCCGACTCTTGGTTCCAGCTCAGGTCATGATCTCGTGGTTCGTGAGTTTGAGCATCGTGTTAGGCTCTGCACTGACAGCACAGAGCCTGCTTTGGATTCTCTCTCTCTCTCCTTCTCTCTGCCCCTCCCCTGCTCTTGCTCTTGTTCTCTAAATAAATAAATAGATAAATAAAAGACAATAAAAAAAGACACAAAGGGAAAGATATTAATGAATTAATATTGTTAAAATGTCCATATTACCCAAACCATCTATAGATCCAATGCAATTTCTATCACAATTCCAATGGCATTTTTCACAGAAATAGAAAAAAAAAAAAAAACCTGTAATTTGAATGGAGCCACAAGAGACACTGAATAGCTAAAGCAATCCCGAGAAAGAAGAACAAAGCCAGAGGCATCATACTTCTTGATTTCAAACTCTATCACAAAGCTACAGTAATCAACATAGTATATGGTACTGGCATAAAAACAGACACAGACCAATGGAACAGAATCAAGAACCCAGAAATAAACACCACATATACAGACAACTAATATTTGAGAAGGGAGCCAAGCATACTTGATGGGGAAAGGACAGCTCTTCCCAACAGTGATGGGAAAACTGGATAACCACATGCAGAAAAATGAAATTGACCCGTCTTATACCACTCACAAAAATGAACTTGCAATGGATTAAAAACTTAAGTGTAAGGCCTCGAACCACAAAACTCCTATATGAAAACAGGGGAAAAACTCCTTGACAGTGGTCTTGGCAGTGATTTCCTAGATATGACAGCAAAAGCACAAGCAACGGAAGCAAAAACTACAGAAGTGAGATGACATCAAAGTCAAAAGTGCCTGCACAGTAAGAGAAACAATCAACAAAATGAAAAAGCAATACTTCTCCCTACAGAATGGGGAAAATATTTGCAAATCATGTATCTGACAAGGGGTTAATATCCAAATATATAAAGAACTCATACAACTCAACAGCAAAAAAGCTAACAACCTGATTAAAAAATGGGCAGAAGAACTGAAGAGACAGTTTTCCAAAAAAGATATGCAAATGGACAGCAGGTAGATGAAAAGATGCTCAATATTACTAGTCATTAGGGAAATGCAAATCAAAACCACAGGATATCCCCTCACACCAGTTATAATGCTACCATCAAAAAGAGAAGAATTAAGTGTTGGTAAGGGTACGAGGAAAAAGGAACCCTGATGAATTTCTGGTGGGAATGTAAATTGGCGCAGCTACTTTGGAAAACAGTGTGGCTGTCCCTCAATAAATTAAAAATAGAACTGCCATATGGTCCAAAAATTCCACTCCTGGGTATATATTCAAAGAAACGGAAAATCAGGATCTTGTACAGTTTCTGCACTTCCATGTTCACTGCAGCATTACTCACAATAGCCAAGATATGGAAACAACCTTAAATGTCTGTCAATGAATGAATGGATAAAAAAGATGTGGTATATATACACAAGACAGTATTAGTCAGCTATGAGAAAGAAGGAAATCCTGCCATTTGTAATAACTTAGATGGACCCTGAAGGCACTTTGCTAAGTGAAGTAAGTCAGATAGTGAAAGACAAAAACTGTATAATCTCACTTATATGTGGAATCTAAAAAAAGACAAACTCAGGAGATAGCACAATGGTGGTTACCAGTGGTTAAGGGGTGGGGAACATGAGGAGATACTGGTCAAAGAGTACAAACTTTCAGTTACAAGATTAACAAGCTTGGGGAATCTAATGTACAGCATGGCGATTATAGCTAACCATGCTGTATTATATGCTTGAATGCTGCTAAGAGAATGGACCTTAAAAGTTCTTACCACAAAAAAAATTAGTAACTATGTGATAGGATGAAGGAGGTACCTAACACTATGGTGATAATCATTTTACAATTTATAAAAGTATAAGTCAAC